CAGGAATTTCATTTTACTTGGATCCACAATCAACACCCATGGAAGCAGCAGTCAAGAAATCAGACATCATGTTGCACTGGGCAGATCTGCTGCAAGAGACCTGTTTAAAGTCTTAAGACCCAAAGATGTCACTCTGAAGGCTAAGGGGAGCCTAACTCAAGTCAGGGTATTTTCAGTTGCCTCATATGCACGTGAGAGCTGGACAATGAATAAGAAGACAGAAGAAGAATTGATGTCTTTGAATTGTGGTGCTGGTGAAGAAAACTGAGAACACCACGGACTGGCAGAAGAGGGAACAGATATGTCCTGGAAGAATTGCAGCCAGAATGCTTCCTGGAAGTGAGAATGGCCAGACTTCATCTCACCTACTTTGGTCACATTGTCAGAAGGGACCATTCCCCTGAGAAGGATGTCATCCTTGGTAAAGTGGGGGGTCAGTGATAAAGGGGAAGGCCCTGAGCAAGGTGGATTGACACAGTGGCTGCTACGATGGGCTCGGACACGGCAGGGACTGTGAGGCTGGCACAGGGCCAGCCAGGGCTCCATTCTATTGTTCACAGGGTCGCTATGAGTCGGAGCCAACTCGGCGGCACCTAACAACAACAACAACAACAACAGACCCTGAGGGAATAAGCGTCTGTGGTCAAAGCCCCTCATTGGTAGTTTTTCTGTTACTGCAGCATTAGCTAACTAGGCCTCAACCCCCAAACCAAGCTCACCGCCACTGAGTCCATTCAGAATCATAGTGACCCCCACTGGGTTTCCAAGGCTATAAAATCTTTACAGAAGGCAACTGCCTCATCTTTCCTCCTGGTGGGTTTGAACTACTGACCTTTTGGTTAGCAGCCAAATGCCTTAACCACTGTACCACCCGAGCTCCTTCCTAGATAATGAGGACAGGTGGGTCCTAATCGAATTGTGTTCCTATAAAAGAGAAGAGACACAGAGAGAGACAGGCAGAGGAAGGGTGCTGCGTGACCCTGCGGCTTCAGCCGTGCAACACCCCGGGCCACTGGAAGCTGGCAACAGGTCCCCCCTCTGAGCCTCAGAGGATGCACACTGCCTGATCCAATGTAAGGGATTTGGGTGGGATGCAACACCCTTACTCAGCTCACAGACCGATCTGACGTAAGGGGAGACCTCTTGGGTGTGGCCAGATCACCGTTTGTTTTACTAGAGATAGAAGGAGACAGAAGCAAACAGACACCCTGAGTTCAGGCTTCTAGCTCCCAGAACCATGAGTCAATTACTTCTGTCGTTTAAAGCCATCCACTGCGTGGTATTTGCTACAACAGCCCCAGGAAGAGAAGACACAGGCGCCCCTCTGGTTTCCTCATCCTGTTCTGGGAGAGAAGCGTCCTTGACGAGAAGAAGGCCTATTCCTTTTCTCTCCCACCGTCCGTCTGTCTGTGTCATGCCCTGCTATGCTGGAAGCTGTGCCACCAGCATTTCAAACACCAGCATGGCCACCCAGGGCGGAGAGGTTTCACCAGAGCTTTCAGACTAAGACGGACTCAGAAGGCCTGGCCATCTGCGTTTGAAGACGAGCCAGTGAGAAGCCCATGGCCCACAGCAGAGCACTGTGGGTGGGGTGCTGGAAGACCAGCCGCCTGGGCGGGAAGGCACTCCACACACGGCGACCCTAACAATGGGTTTGAGCACATCAGCCAGCCATCCTGAAGATGGGGCAGGACCGGGCGACATCTTTTCTGTTTATAAGGGGTCACCTGGAGTCAGGCACAACAGGGGTCTCCCCCACGGTCGTCAGGATACAGAGGTATCTGAAGCAGGAGACAGGACGGGTTTCTCGAGGTGCAAGTGGAGATGAAGAGGGGCAAGGACAGAGGCCTGGGTCTCTGGAAGACCAGGGATGGGACGCCAGAGACAGAAGGTGCAGCAGAGGTGGGCGGTGCCAGGCCAGGTGCCATTCCTGTCTTCTCAGCTGCACCAGGCCCTAGAGCCAGGGTGTGAGGTATGGAGGACATCTGCCGGCCTCTTCCCTATGAAGGCGGGGTACTCACCCCACCCCGCACTTTGGGGGCGTCTTCCTCAGAGGTCCCACCCCCATGGACAGGCCCAGCATGAGTTTCCTCAGGGCAGGGACACCCATGAGGGGCGGCCCTCCCCTTGGCAAAGGGGCAGGATGTGATATTCAATGACCACTAGGAGGCGGAAGGCTCGGGTCATGTCCCCTCCTCCAGGAAGCCCTCCCTGCCCCTCATCCCGGTCAGGGCCGCCTCCGGAACTGCCAGCCCGTTGCCGTTGGCCTCAGCGCCCACTTGGGGACCCACACAGGCCCGGGAGCCCAGAGGACGGCTTGGGAGCAGTTGTTGAATGTATGTTGTTGTTGTTGTTATATGCCGTCGAGTCGGCCCCGACTCATAGCGACCCCTCCTTGGGTTTCCGAGGCAGTATCACTACGGAAGTAGGATTGCCCAACCTTCCTTCCGAGGAGTGGCTGGTGGGTTTGAACCGCCAGCCTTCTGGTTAGCAGTCAAGTGCCTTAGGCACTATGCTACCAGAGTTGAATGTATACGTTCCTCGAAACCGGTGCCAATCTCATCCCTTCCTGCTTTGCTTTGCACATCCCTACATCGGGCAGCTGGACTGCCAAAGCGCGCGTGCTGTGTGGAAGGGCGCGCGGTGCCAAGACGCGAATGGGGGCGCCTCACGTGCACAGTGCGAGGGGCAGCCGAGTCGCCTGCTCCATTTTCCCCGCCCAGGACGCGGAGCCACCTGTCCCAGACCCCCCGCGACCCGGGGGGCCGCAGGGGCGCCCTCCGCCCAAGGCCGTGGGTCCTCCGGGAACGCGCGCCGGGGCGGGGACAGGGCCTGCCCGGGAGCCACATCCGGGGCGGGGCCAGGTGAGTCGCAGGTCGAGCCCAGGTCAGGAGAAGAGTTGGCCGGCTGTCGCCAGGTAAGGCCTGGCGTCCGAGGTGGGAGCGCGGGGGACCTGCGCCCGGTGGGGGCGCCACGCGAGTTCTCGGGGTGAGTCGGGGGCCGGCCAGGCCCAGGTCTCAGGTGGAGACTCGAGGGGGCGCAAGGCGCCACGTGAGCGGTGACAGAGACGAGCCACGCACCCCGTGCCCTGCGTGGGGTCCTGGGCGGCTCTCCTCCCCCGAACCCCCCTCTCTCCTGCACCCTCCTGACGCCCTCCCACCGAGCCCCTCTCCCACCCACCCCTTCTTCCCCGCTCGCTCCTGTCCTCCCAGGTCACCTGTCCTCCTAAGGCCCCTCACTCTTGCCCAGGCTGCCCTCCCTTCTTTCTCTCCCCTCCCTGCCCACACCCCTCCCTTAACTCGCTGATCCCGACTCTTCCTCCCCCTGCTCCCCTACCTTTCTCCGTTCCCACCCCATCCCCTCCTCTCCCTCCCACTGCGCCACCCTGTCTCCCCCCCC